TCCAAAAAATAATGGAACACTTCAATTTTGAATTTAACTTAATTTATTAGAAGTGTATGTAAAAAAAAAAAGAATAATAAATAAAAAAAGTAGAAAAAAAAAACTGAGATTATAAGAATTTGTATTCAAAATGTGTCAGATATAAATATGCATTTCGAATTCGTATTTCTTTAAAGGAAAAAAATAAAACCAAATTAATTACAATCAAAGGAATCGCCAAGAAAATAATAATTATTTTTTTTATCCTATAACAAATTTAATTATTTTCATTTAACCCCACTATGATGAAAGCAAGATCGAACCAATAAACAAAAGAATAATAAAGACGTGTGGTTTATGCAGTGAATCCATCATGAAAGTCTTTTAAGCCCATTTTTTTTATTCTTCTAGCTATTTATACTCCTTTATGTATTTTTATGTTTTTAGTATTACTTCTAGCGCAAATAATTCATTTGATATATTTTCTGTTGTATTCTTCGAGAATTTTTCTAATGCCAAGTTGAAAATGAAAAAACACAATCCTTTTAATTGTTTTTTGAAAAATTCCGTATTAAAACGCTTAATGGTCATCGTAGCGAAGATATACTACAGAAACGGTAGTTGTTTAAAGAAAAGTTTTAATTGAATACGCTAAAATGGGCGATGTGGATTATGAGTAAGTCAAGCAGTTGTGTTGGTTTTTTCTTTTGTTGTTTGTTTGTTTGTTTCTGGTTCAGCAAAATATTTTCTACGTTTACGGATTTCTGCGTGACTTCATTTTCGGTTTGTTTTAATTGAGTATTGCCAAAAAGAATTAACTAATTAAAAATTAAGAATTCGCAATTCTGCAGAAAGTAAGTGGAAAAGTTTTCATATTTCTTACTGGATATTTTTCTGTTCTTTTAATACCTGTGAATTATTCGTAATTCCTATAAAAAGCACTTTTTCTGTCAAAACAGCAAGTTCCGATTTTTTTAGAATTATTTAAATTTGACAAATGACTTAATTGCAATAAGTTTTCATTAAGTAAGTGGAAAAAAAATCGAAGATATTTGAAACAAGAATAATTCTACTTCAGCAAATATCAATTTAAAAAAGTAAACAATTGACGCTCATCAAATTGCTACATCGGAAAAGATAAATTTAATTTAATGTTTTGATATTTTGACAAAATATTTTTGAATAAAATCATTGAATTCTTTTAGCTATGCCTTTTGGAAATGGAAAACTTTTAAATTTTTTACAAAGCTTTAAGCAAAACTGCAATTATGAATTTGATACATAAAACAGAAATGGCAAAGGTTATTTTTTTTAAGCATAGGATATTAACGAAAAATGATACAGAGATAATAAATTTGGCTCATTTGGCGGAATTAACCTCTAAGTAAATATTGCTAACTACTTTGTCAGATTAGTTAAATAACTATTCTAATGTATCCATTGTTGTGTTTTTTCAACGATTAATTTTATTTAATAGAAGGTTCACAAAATGAGATATATTTCTTTACATTAAATGATTTTTTTAATATTTATTATATGATAAATTCAATGAAAAATAATGATAAATGTGTAAAATATTATTTCTTTTAAGTTATTTACAAGGAAGAATTCTAAGGGAATTCACAGAAAAATATTCCTAACTATCGTGCGAAATTTGACTACTTCGCATGCGCGGTAATAAAAAATTTAGATTTTCTTCTGTATTTTAATTTTACAATTGATTTTTTCTATATTTTATATTCCACGATAAATTAATTAAAAAATAATGATAAATTTGTAAAATATTTCTTTACTTTATTTACAAGAAAGAATTATAAAAGAATTCATGAAAAAATATTCCTTGATTTCATACGGAATTTGGCTAACATGCATGCGCGGTAATAAAAAATTTAGATTTTTTTCTGTATTTTAATTTTACAATTGATTTTTTCTATATTTTATATTCCACGATAAATTAATTAAAAAATAATGATAAATTTGTAAAATATTTCCTTACTTTATTTACAAGAAAGAATTATAAAAGAATTCATGAAAAAATATTCCTTGATTTCATACGGAATTTGGCTAACATGCATGCGCGGTAATAAAAAATTTAGATTTTTTTCTGTATTTTTAATTTTACAATTGATTTTTTCTATATTTTATATTCCACGATAAATTAATTAAAAAATAATGATAAATTTGTAAAATATTTCTTTACTTTATTTACAAGAAAGAATTATAAAAGAATTCATGAAAAAATATTCCTTGATTTCATACGGAATTTGGCTAACATGCATGCGCGGTAATAAAAAATTTAGATTTTTTTCTGTATTTTAATTTTACAATTGATTTTTCTATATTTTATATTCCACGATAAATTAATTAAAAAATAATGATAAATTTGTAAAATATTTCTTTACTTTATTTACAAGAAAGAATTATAAAAAGAATTCATGAAAAAATATTCCTTGATTTCATACGGAATTTGGCTAACATGCATGCGCGGTAATAAAAAATTTAGATTTTTTTCTGTATTTTAATTTTACAATTGATTTTTCTATATTTTATATTCCACGATAAATTAATTAAAAAAAATAATGATAAATTTGTAAAATATTTCTTTACTTTATTTACAAGAAAGAATTATAAAAGAATTCATGAAAAAATATTCCTTGATTTCATACGGAATTTGGCTAACATGCATGCGCGGTAATAAAAAATTTAGATTTTTTTCTGTATTTTAATTTTACAATTGATTTTTTCTATATTTTATATTCCACGATAAATTAATTAAAAAATAATGATAAATTTGTAAAATATTTCTTTACTTTATTTACAAGAAAGAATTATAAAAGAATTCATGAAAAATATTCCTTGATTTCATACGGAATTTGGCTAACATGCATGCGCAGTAATAAAAAATTTAGATTTTTTCTGTATTTTAATTTTACAATTGATTTTTCTATATTTTATATTCCACGATAAATTAATTAAAAAATAATGATAAATTTGTAAAATATTTCTTTACTTTATTTACAAGAAAGAATTATAAAAGAATTCATGAAAAAATATTCCTTGATTTCATACGGAATTTGGCTAACATGCATGCGCGGTAATAAAAATTTAGATTTTTTTCTGTATTTTAATTTTACAATTGATTTTTTCTATATTTTATATTCCACGATAAATTAATTAAAAAATAATTATAAATTTGTAAAATATTTCTTTACTTTATTTACAAGAAAGAATTATAAAAGAATTCATGAAAAAATATTCCTTGATTTCATACGGAATTTGGCTAACATGCATGCGCGGTAATAAAAAATTTAGATTTTTTTCTGTATTTTAATTTTACAATTGATTTTTTCTATATTTTGTATTACATGATAATATCACGGAAAAATAATTAATTATGAATATTTAAAATATTTTTGAAGTTATTTACAAGATAGAATTTTAAATTAATTCACAGAAAAATATTCCTAGATATCATTCGAAATTTGGCTAACACGCATGAGCGAACAAATAATTTTTGTCTTTAGTCTCAATTAGTTGATTAATTAGTACTATTACAAAAATTAGTTTACATTTAACTCACGAAAGCTTATACGTTTTATTTTCAATAATTTTTTTTTAAATCAGTTTTATTTAACAAATCATTTAAGAAAAAAAATTGAGTTCAACAATCGCCATTACGATTTCAGTGAGTATTACCAAAAAATATTTCTTCATTTGCCATTTTTCGGCCATTTTTCAATTCCTTCTATTAGCTCACACCCTCCCTATATATATCTTGTTCACATTTTCAATCGTTCATAAAATTCTTTTGATTCATCCACTCACGTTCAAATACATTTTTTTGAACTTGTAGTGGATGACATTGGATGTGAATAAATATTAATTCTAATATTAATTAAATTTGATTAATTAATTTTAGTTTTTTTAGATTTAAGTTGCATATATCTACCAATAGATGACGCCAGATAAACTTAAAAAAATTTATGAAAATTATTTATAAAGGATTTTCTGCAATAGAGTGAAAAAATGTAGGAATTGACTTTAAATTACTTGTTTTCTTTTCAAATAAAATTGTTTTTGCTTTCCCCAGACGATCTTTTAAAACAATTTTACATTGTAATTAGTAGCATGAGAAAATTAAAAAAAAAAAATATTATGGATAAAAAAAGCACGTCAAAGAAAAAATAATTTAAAGTGCTCCACTCCTCTCCCCAAATATACCCATAATTCTATGGTTAAAACACTACTTCTTTAATATAAAATGTTTTGTATAGATATTTGATTTGCTAATATTATTTATTAATTAATGATTAAGGTTGCGCGGTTTGAATTTAAGCAATCTATAACGCACCGAGGGCCTGATGGCCGAGTGACTATCGCTCAGTGGCCAAGTTTCGAGTTCGAGTCCTGGCGGTGCAATGGATGTTCGTAGTGCTTCGGAAACCACTTTAAACCTTAAGCCCCTCTCTCATATGACTGTTGGGTGTAGGACTGACAACCTTACCCAGTGAAAGAAAAAAAACCTTTCCTGTCTTGAAACCATTTAGACGGGCTTGGCCCATCATGGGGCTGTTGCGCCAATAACGAAGAAGATGATGATAGATTAAATCAGGATACATGATCCAGCCTTAGAAACATAAATATCAACAAAGTTACAGTTAGTGGTGCGTCTGTCACCCTACATACGTGTGTTCGTCCCTGATTTACCATTACATTATCATTATTTATCATTATATGTTGTTGTTGTTTCTTATCCCACTTGGCTGGCCAAGCCCACGAGCCCATACGTACTCATGATTGAAGGGGAAGGAAGCAGCTTCTGTTGGGATGGAGCACCCGTAGGTAGAAGCCTGACTTTTGCTCCGTGATGCTCTTACAGTCATAGGAGACCGGGACCTACAGCTTAAAGTGGATTCCGAACCACTACAGACATCCATGGCACCGCCGGGATTCGAACCCGAAACCTGTGGCACCGAGCGCCAGAGCGCTACACACTCGGCCATTCAGGTCCCAAATTTGCCAACGGCACGCAGTGTTCCCAGGTGGTCACCCACCCAAGTACTGCCCGCGCCCAATGATGCTTGATCTAACGAGAACCGGTATATTCAGCATGGTACGGCCGTTGGCGTTATCATTATATTACATAACATTATCAACTCATCCTGTTGTGGAGAAAAATCATTTTCAATCAAGTCGAAAATGACAAAAAAATGGCCCATCATTGGGCTGTTACGCCAATGAAGAAAAAGAAATCGAACCGAAATTTTCCATACTCATTTGGAATCGTCACTGAATGAAATCTGTAGGACGGAAAGTCACAGATGAGGAGAAAGAAACGAATACTCTAGATATCCATTTCTGGCTGTGATCGTCCAAATTATTACATAACAATACCAAATTCCATGGTACAGCACAGTGAGCTCTTTATCTGCTACATATCAGGTACACTAGAGGTGAATGGCCTCAAATGCTGCGTTGGTGAATAACTTTGAACAAAGGCTCTTTTGTTCTGCCCTTTTAATGACGTCGAAAACTTTTTCATTTTTTTTGTTTATTATTTTATTTATTAAGTACCAACTACTGCCATTGAATTCCTTTATTTATTTAGGATCGATTTTCCTAACAATACGTGTTATAATGCATTCTTTTGCATTTGGAACAAAATAAACTACAATGTTGTTAGTTTCAGTTATTCACCATTTTATTTTTTCGTAAGCCTCTTTTTTCTAATCACACCTTACTAAAAAAAGTCTTCATTAAATTTCCTAGAATGAGTTTCCAGGAAAAAAAATTCTCATCTTGCAATAATAGTTAATGACTTTTTCAAGCAAAATAAGTATTAATGGAGTTTTATGAATTTACTCAATAATAGCACAGTTCGTGTATTATTTATTTAATTATTAATTATTTCGATTTTCTTCTTCCAATCAAAAGCTTTCATATCATTTTATATACTTAAAAAATTCTATGGCATGCTAATTAGTGATAGTTTATTATAAAACGATACACTTCATTGTTTTATTTTATTAATTATTAATATAAAATATAACAATAACAACTTTTTTACTGGATTTCTATTTGTTACAGTAAAATTTAATTAAATTTTCCAGAATTTCATGTATAAAATACGTACGAATAGAGTTTACAATAGATGGATTTATAAAAGTCCCGTTGCAATAATTTTACTAAAACATGTTAAAAATATTTAAGTTATTCTTTTATATTTATTTAATTAGTAATTTGTATAATTATTTAATCTTTAAAAAATTTAATTTATGGGAATTATTGCGTTTATTTTCCATGAAATGTACATTGTATAAGGTAGAAGATAAAAATTAAAAAATAAATTTAATTATTAACAAAATTTTAAATAAAATGTTTTATTAAAATTTAAAAGATTAAAATGTAAAATTGCTCCGAAAAATCGTCTGGTGAAAGCGAAGACAATTTTAGTTCAAAGTGACAACGAGATTTTTACGAGAAAAGAAAATCCTTTGGAATTATACAGTTTTTTATATTTTAAAATTGCTGTTTCGTTTTTACATTAATTCAATTAGAATTTCTGACATAATAACTTTAAAATTACATTACTAAGAATCTTCTTCTTATGATTTATAATTTTTTATAAATATTTTTTAATTATAATATTTATATTATACTATAATAATTATTTAAATCACAATAAAATATTCCTTAATTTTTTTATAAGTAATTTTTCATACGATTTTATAAGAATTTTTTTACGAAAAATTCTAATAAATTCTTTTTTATATAAATGAAAATAAAAAATTTTTGTTTCAAATTAGCGATTAAATAAGCTAAAAAATTTGAAATTAAAATAATTAAAAAAAAAATCGCCTTTCACTTGTTTAGATGTAATAAGTAATTTCTAATTATTTGAATAAACGAGATTAAGAATTATTATGTTTTTCTAGAAATATACTTGTACATAAAACGATCACTTTTTCAAATTTTCGGGAATGCGTTTATATTTGAAAAATATCGGCGGTATATATCTAATATTAATCAAATTATAATTGCATCAAAGTGATTTGACAATATTTTATTTATTTTATTATGATGAAGTAAACAGAACGTACATAAAAATAAATATAATTTAGATTAATTTAATTAAATAACAAATTTAACAATTAAATAATTAGATAAATCAAACCTTATATAATACCAACATCTGAAAACAAACACAAATTTTTCTCAATTGCAAACACATTAAAAAAAATTCTAAAAAGGGGTTGTTTTATGTACAAATATATTTCTAAAAACAAAATAAAAATAATTGATCTCGTTTATTCATATAGTTAGAAATTTTTTGCCCGACTCAGGCCTCAGAGGAAACTCGATTCGCTGGTGAGCATTACGACGAAGGTTCCATCTGCTGGAGGTTTTGTTGTAGATACTGTTCCGAAAAACAAAGAGATTCGATGGCGTTTGAGATATTCAGCATCTTGCCTTGCTAATCGGACTACCTACTTTGGTAGGAGTTTGCGGGGTTTTCTCAAATACTATACACAAATGTGGGATAGTTCCCCCTGCCTTCCTAGTAAATACTGCTTCCCTCTTAAATGTCACGGAATCAAGTCAGACTTCTACCTACGAGTGCCTCAACACAACAGAAACTGTCTCCCTTTTTTCCCTCCTTCCATAATGCAAGGATTCGTAAATTTGTTCTAGATGCTGCTGTCTACCAAGTGGGATAAAAAAAAAAAAATCACAAATTTCCATCGTTCTCGAAGATGCTGATTAAGATTCAAAAGTAAGAGAGAGTTACTAGTTTATCTCGCGGAGAACAGGAAAAAACGAGGTCTACAAAAGTCCCTCGTTGCCAAACTTGTAATGAGTTGTGCCGTTGCTTTCATGCATGAATTTTCGAAATTTTTCATTTTTTCAAAACTAAACTATGTATTGTTTGTTTCTTGCTTTCTTGAGTTACGAATCAAAGCTGTAACAAAACTATTTAACGAAACTATAAACGAATTTTTTCTTTAAAAATCCACATACAAATCTATATATAATCGCCATCAAAATTTCTTAGTTATGTTTTCATGTTTTTTGTTATTATGTAGGAAGAAATTTAAAAAAGCATAAAAATTTTACGGTGAAAGGATATCGATTGGTGTCAATGAAATACGCAATCGATTTTAATCGATTGGTGTCATAGGAATATTTTTTCATTGGATTTATTTATTTCTATCCAAACTGTTTAGAGATTAATCCACGCCAAATAATGAATAACATTTTTAAAAATATACTGGAACAATAGATTGTTTAATAAATTTAGATTATTCGAACACTTTCTTAACAAAGGAATTCTAACAGTTAATTTATTTTTATTAAAAACACCAATATTTTGAATATAGATTTTTTTGTTGCTATTTATCTAAACCAGGGATGGCCAACCCAAATGATCTTGCGGGCCACTTTGTAAATGCATCCTAACTTATTAGTACCTTAGTACCTTACCTTATCCGTAGGCCGCATAAAAAATTATATATCCCAATATTAGATTTAGATCCCATATAGACATTTTTTTGGAGTGAAAAATTGGAACAGAATGAGTTATTATTATTGTGTTTGCAATTATTCTTACATGTAAACATAGATAAAAAAAATAATAATGATATTAAATGCACATCGTAAAGAAATATAGAACACTCAAAATGAAATTTATAAAAAATATACAAATATAAATGAAATAAAAAAAAATGAAATCGTTAAAAAGTATTTGTTTTACTAGTGCGATATGTGTTTCTCCACTCTTTCATTTAGCTTTTGCAAATCAATTTCGGTATTTACACATCGTAATGGGTGTTACGTCCGTTATATTTAAGCATGTTTTGTGTTTGATCAATTTCATTTTCGGGGGAAAAAAAAGGGAAAAAAAAACGATTCGCAGGTGTAAGTTGAACCAAAAGCGCTAACAACTTAAACTAAGAATCTGGTTTGCTCTGCTATCAGCAATCAACTGCGCGTATCTAAGGATGGTCCCTGAGGTCACGTTAAGTGAAACATAGAACTTGTTATATTAAATGTTCCAAGGCGCGCGAGCATCTTGAGTTCGCAGAATTTAATTTAATTATTCTGCGAACTCATCACTGTAAACTCATCCATAAAACAGGTAATATTTGTCCTATATTCGAAAGAATATTATTTTAAAATCAAAGCTAATTTTTTTCATCATTTCGACAGTTAATTTTTTAATATAGGGATGCACACATAATTTATTGTTTTAATACATTGGTTTTCACTACTTTGGCCATTATAAAGTAAATATATTTTGTGAAAGTGTGATACATCTCACGGGCCGGAAAAATATTTAAGGCAGGCCGTGGGTTGGCCACCCCTGATCTAAAACTTCTAAAATTTCCTTCTATTCCACAAAATTCAACAAATAAAAAAAATATTCGATTAATTCCGATTCTTTGTAAACATAAAAAAATGATTTTCCTAATGAACATTTAAAATTACATATCACTGTACCTTCCTCGCTTGCTGATGTCAATCAAAGACTTGTCCTTCTGCCACGTGATCACAATGGGGGCGTGACCTGTGGCGATGCACCTCAGAGTGGTGTTGGACTCTTCCGTTACGGTCTTGGTTTGGAAAGGTTCCTTGAAAGTAGGAGGAACTGAAAAAAAAAATACATTTATATTGATTTGCGGATACTTGAAAATGTATATTGATGTATAAAGAATTAAAATTTTCTTTTGATTTTGTAATTATTTTATTTATTTTAAAAACCCACAATAATGAAAAAAATAAATAAATAAACAACTAAAGAAATACGTTAACATTGAATGAAAATTTCTGAAATGAGAATTTTTCACAGATAAGTACTGATAATAAATATTTTACGTCTAATCTCGTTTTGTAATTGATGTGGGGTTAGGTTTATAGATCATTATCCTAAACAAATCCACCAAAAATTCTCCATGTTCTTATTTGAGTTCCACATATTTGTGAAAATCGTATGGAATAGGTACGCTAGAAAATGTTAAAAATTGTAATTAGTAATGTATTATAAATACTCAATAATCAAATATTTTGTGAGTACTTTTATAGAATTTCTAATATTTGCTAGATTACTGTATTGGTGTTTGATATAA